GGCCCGGGCTGGGTATTCGAACCCACCACCTTAGGTGTATGTGGCTGGCGCCTTAGCCGCTTGAGCCACAGGCGCCGAGCCATCTTGGAACTTTTCATTGTTATGGCTTAAATCTCCTTTAAAAAGTAACTTCCCATGAGCTAAGTTACCATTTTCACAAATACTAGCAATAGTCACCAAATGAAATATTATCATCAAAACATGATCAATGAAGAAATCGAATATTTTGTTATTTTGCTGTAACAGTGTCGCTCACTGTGTAAAAAGAGCACCAGCAAATGCAGAATGTCATAAAATTAAGATAATACTGTTATTCATTTGACACTGTAAAGCAGTGGTTCTCAGCCTGTGGGTTGAGAAATGAAAATATATCCTATATATCTTACATTACGATACTTGCATAACAGTAGCAAAATTATAGTTATGAAGTAGCAATAAAAACAATATTATGGTTGGGGGTCACCATAACATGAGGAACTGTATTAAAGGGTCGTGGCACGAGGAAGGATGAGAACCACTGCTGTGAAGCCAAGAGAAACTTCTTCACACTCAGTTATTTCCAATGGAAAGATCACTTCAACTCAAATCCCAGTATAGATGTAAGCAAGTCACAGTTTTATATAAGGAATAACAGCTTTATGCTTGTGTTACGTAATTTTTATAACTAGTTTTTACAATGGATAATTTCATGAATTCTGAATACTAGAGGTTAGTCTAAAAATTGTAGGGTATTATGAAAAAGATGCATATTTTGTTTACCTACAGCCGTTAGAAGGTTAAGGGCTGTTTTCTTTCATTAGCCATGTTGAGAGTAGTCACTATTTTAAGTCATCTGTTCACCACTAATTTCCACAACTAAGCTGGACTGAGTTATTTCACACTAGTTTACTTCGGGGTTTCATCTTCACTCCCCGGTAGATTTTACACATTTCTCAGATGCTTCTTCACTCAATAGCTCATCCAGTTCTGAAAGTTTACTCACCGTCACCTTGATCAGCCAACCAGCTTCACACCAAGATTTGTTGACAAGTCTTGGATTTCCTGCCTGAGCTCATTAATTTCAGTTACTTCTCCTGATGAAGGAGAAAGAGTTCACTGGCAGCTCTCACACTTTCCAAAGCACCAAACTCATCTTCTTTGTTTAATTTTGTCCCTGCTTCAGGCAGATTACAGCGAACACCTCCCAAAGCTTCCTGTGCAAAATTGCTCATTCCCACTGTTCTAACACCATGTTCTATTGGTTTCCATTCTTGTTTCTCTGTGAATTTACAACATCTGGAGAGCGCAGCTGCCAGGGCTCAGCATAGCCTGCAGGCCCCAGCCACTAGTAATTTGTGCTCACAGGGGTATTGAGGGTTGCTGCCCTGTGCCTGGTGGTGCAAATTTTTTGAAAAGAATAATTTCGGTTATTTTATTATTACAAAAGTAAAAACACATTTAGAAACTGTGGATTAGCAAGAAAAATTATTCATGGTTCTATCACCACTATTAACATTTAGGCTACATCCTCCTACTGTTCCCTTTTTTTTTTTTAAGACAGAGTCTCATACTCTGTCACCCTGGGTAGAGAGAGTGCCATGGTATCGTCATAGCTCATAGCAACCTCAAACTCTTGGGCTAAAGCAATCCTCTTGTCTCAGCCTCCCGAGTAGCTGGGACTA